CAAACTGGGGTGGGGCTAGAGCTGGTGGAGCCAGCTTGGTCTGGGCTTGCTTCCTCTTGACTGGACCAATATCCAAATGGGTGATATACTCTCAGGCTGACGGTGCAGATGGTTGCCCTGGGCCCTAAGTAGAAGAAGGTTAGTGTGGATCATGAGATTGCTCTGTTCCTCAGACTCAAAAGGGACCCAGGGAATATGCTTACACGGTCTGCAGGCAGGACCCAGGGCTTAGACTCCAGAGAAACAGAGAGAGGGAACTGACTCCCCAGATCTGTTTTCCCTGTTCACATGGAATCCCTGGTCATTGGACACAAGCCACTGGGACCTGTGATAGCACCTGATGGCCCAGTGAGGCCATCTGAGGCAGCCATGGACCAATGGACAGGGGTCTTTTCTCTGGAGTCAGGGACCCTTTGGGCACATGAGGCCTTTCCAAAGGTGGTGGCGGGGAGAGTTGTGTCTTGAAGAAATGTCTAGATTGACAGAGTCCCTTTCCAGATGGATTGATGACAGGGTAAAGCTGCTGGGAAGCACAGACCCCCTGGCTGGGCAGAGAAGGAAGGGAGGTCATCAATACTGATGCCTGTGATGTGTTCCTTAGCCCAGGGCCAGCAACCAGTGGCAAGCCTTTCAGCCTCTCCTGAATTAAAACTTTGTGTTTATCCCAAAGTCCAATTGGAAAAAGACAAGATGAATTCTCCTCCACGGAAAGTCAGAAAGAACAGCCTGACTTCCAAACCTGATCATCTGCTACAGATTAAACGTCCTAACACAGCAGAAGAGAGCCAGGTAAAGGTGACTTGCTTCCTCAAAGCCACTTTCCATGGGGATGGAGCAGTGTCCCTCAGAGCACCAGAGTCTGCTATGGGCGGGGAGAAAGGAGACAGCCTGCGTTCCGATTCTGGGACAAGATGCAGATCTGGGCAGCTGCTCACTTTGTTTGGGCCCAGGTGTAACCAGTGACCTGCCTCTCTCAGCCGAATGTGATCCAGCCACCTTGGTCTGGGAATCTTGGGGGTCATTAGAGACTGACAAGAACCTGGGTCTTGGGATGCTGTGCTGTCCTCTGTCCACCTACAGCTTAGTTTCCAGGCATAACTTCTTCAAGGTCTCACAAACATGGTGTCTGTTTAATCTAGAGTCCCCATCCACCTTGGTGGGTCCCTGGCAGGAATCCCAACTACATTTGATCCAGCACTGATCCTGCCAGCTGTCAGCCCTTAGAGGTGGGAACCCCCTTAGCAGTGGGCTTTCCGTGTCCGTGGTGGGATCCACAGCACGTGACTGGAGTGGAGTCCCTGAAGCTCAGGATGGTGTGTCCTCACTTCCTGGGACAGACTTGGGCTGCCTGCCTGTTGCAGGGTTCCTCCGTTATCCAAGGAACACTGGAGACGTTTTCAACCAGTATAAACAACAGGTTGAAGGTCACAGAAAACGAGAAGGGCCACTGTCTTTCCATCTCCTAAATCCCTCTGTACGTTTCTCTCTTGTGCGCTCTCTCTTGGCAGGCTGTGACCCTCAGGGTACTGGGCAGGGGCGACTCAGACCTACTGTGTTAGTCAGGGCCCTCCCCTTCTCCGGCCACCACCTCCCAGGAGAGTCAAGCCATGGACCAAACCTTCACCATGTGGGCGTTGAGGAGTGCTTTGGATCTAAACCGTGCAATCCACTCACACCCGTGTACTTTGGCAGGGCTGGCCTCCTTCCATCTCTGTGTCAGGCATTTCTGTGGTCGTGAGTGCTGTTTGGAATTCCAGATGTCTTGTCACATGACAGTAAAACCCTGTACATTCTTTAATTCAACTCTTTTTCGGCTTATTCTTGAATTTTGAGAGGTCTTTATACATTCAGGCACAAGACTTATTCAGAAGCACGTTTCACAAACGTTGGCTCCCTGACTGTGGTTTGCTTACATTTCTTTCTCTCTTTTGCTTTTTTTTGGTCTTTTTGAGATAGGGTAAATAGTGAAAAGTAGAGATGTATTTCCTTTTTCTTTGGCCTTTTTTTTTTTAAGACAGGGTCTTCCTGTAGCCCCAGGTGGCCAGGAACTCGCTATGTAGACCAGGCTTTAAATAGTGAAAGGTAGAGATGTATTTCCTTTTTCTTTGGCCCCTTTTTTTTTTTTGAGACAGGGTCTTCCTGTAGCCCCAGGTGGCCAGGAACTCGCTATGTAGACCAGGCTGGCCTCAAATTCACAGAGATCCACCTGCCTCTGACTCCTGAGTGCCCGGCTTGAGGATTTCCTTTAAAGTAGGATACAGTGAAGTGTTCTGGTACTGCTTGGTGCAAAGCCCATCTTTCTGCCACACTGCCTTTACACCTACCTTATCATCACGAGTTCCACCTGGTGAATTTGAGGGTTGTGTGTTCTGTTCTGTTGATGCCCTGCCGCACTCTGTACAGCACCACACCGTCTCAATCACAGGACCAGGGCTGCCACCTTCTCACTTTGTGGTTGTCTTCAAGAGCCATTTTGACTCTGGTAGCAGAATTTAAGGCATATATTTATTTTTAATATTTTATTTATTATTTGTACGCGTATGAGTGTATTGCCTGCACGTGTGTAAGTGCACCTGTGTTGTGTAATGCCATCATCAGAAGAACTGGAGCCACAAAAGGTTGTTAGCCACCGTGTGGGTGCTGGGAATCGAACCCAGGTCGTCTGTAAGAGCAGTCAGTGCTCTTAACTGCTGAGCCATCTCTCCAGCTCCAGAATTTATGCCATTTATATTTAACGTGGCTTGTCTTTAACTTTGAAAACACCACGCTGCTGCCTGCCGGTCAAGCTTTTGCTTTTTCTTTTCCTAATATTGCCCCACCTTTTGGATAGAAAATTACATTTTGTGAACGCAGGTAAAGCCTCTGTGGATTGGTTAGCTCTTTGTGTTTATAGCATTCGTTTTACTTTTGATAGGTGAACCTTTGACTGGCAGAATCCCAGTGGATGATTCTGTGTGATCTCAGAATCCCACAGGAGTTTGCTTCCCTTTGACACTGTCGGTTTCCACCCCGTCCTTGATGCGGAGCTCCTTTTTCCATTAATCAACACATAGCTACTGGTTTTGCTCAGTCAGTTGTCTTTTAGGACTGTGGAATTCATAAGAAAAACATCAACAGTCACTACTCGTGCAGGTTCCCCGTGTAGTCCCAATGAATATAGTACATTGTTTTGAAAGAGTGAGTCCATTCCCTTGTGAAATGCCCGATTCAACCAGCCGTGGACTCCAGTCAGAAGAAAACAATGTTCTAAGCCTCGGTAGTATATAGAGAGCCCTGCTTCCCAGCTTCCCGGCTTATAGGAATGATTCTGCCGCCTTATGGATTTGTTTGCCCACTGCGAAGCTTTGCCCTTTTGTAATGAACTCTCATTAAAACGCCCAGTTAGTACATCGATAAGTTTATCCTTTGCAGAAGGCGAGCCTACTGGCACTGTAGTGAGGCGGCCTCTCTGTGTTCTTAAGGCATCGATTAACCCTCGCCTGCCAGAAATCATTAGCGAATGGATTGCTATTTTCTGATAGTTTTGAAAGGAGAGTAACTCTCAGTAAATAATCATTGGCTGCCTTCCCAGGGGGGAAAGCCAGCTCAGAGGAGCTCAGAAACACCGCATTGGTTCATTTTTGAGTGGGTGTATTTACGGAGGACTGGAAATTGCATTCCAAGCTACTAATTATAGGATAAGCATGCCTGCTTACCCAGGCAGCCAGCATGTCAACTCTGCTCAGAGCTATCACATTACATACAGTTTCTCTTCTCTGGATAATTAACAGGATCAAAATATTACTGTCAGATTCGAGGGGAAAATTAACACATTATCTTAATTGTCTTTTCTACTCAGGTAGGAGACATTACCATTTCAAAACGGGCTTGTTTAATGCACTGGAATTTTAAACTGCGATTGCTGAAGTCGTGGTTAATCCCTTCCCAAACTTTGATCTGCTATTGCAGTATGGTTGGACCCTGACTTCTCGGTTTCAATTTTGAACTATTTAAAAATGGCGACAGAGAGTGCCACAATGTGCCAGATACAGTGCCAGAAAATACAGTTTATTGGTGTACATGTTCACATATTACTTATGACTGTTTTAGTTCAACAACAGCAGAATTAAGTAGTTCCGGCAGTGACTGTTCTACAATCCTGAATTATTTACTATTCCAAAAAAAACAAAAAAAAAAAAAAAAAAAAAAAGACCGTGTGCAAAGTGCTCAGTACTCTGCCTGACGTTTACCAGTAATGGGAACTCTCATTCTCCTTCATTAAAATATCCAAATTAATCAATACTATAGAACACAACACTATCACTATGGGAATGCCCCGCCCCACCCAGTTCTTCAGCACTTAGAGAACGATGGCCAGGTTTTGGTTTAGAGACACAGGATCCCTCAGCCATCCTCACGTTCAGTGTCACTCCACAGAGGTGATTTGTGCATCAATCCTCTCTTCATTTCACAAGATATTTTCACTGGGTGTGGAATCGTAGGTTCATGACGTTTTGTAGTCATCTACCTATCAGGCATGAAGGCCTGGGTTTAAGCCCCAGCACTAACAAGTAAGTAGGTAAAAGGCTGCCCCACTCTCTTTATACTTGTGTTCTGATACGAAATCAGCTGCTTTTCTTTGTGTATAAATGCCATTTTCTAACTACTTTTTAAAAATTGAATATATTATTATAGTTTTTATGTATGTGAGTGTATTGCCTGCATGTATGTAAATGCACCAATGTTGTGTAATACCTGTGGAGGTCGGAAGAGGGGGTTGGATCACCTTGGAACTTGAGTTATGGATGGTTGTTCGCTGCCGTGTGGGTGCTGGGAATTGAACCCAGGCCCCCTGCAAGAGCAGCCAGTTCTCGTAACCACTGAGCCATCTCTCCAGTCCTTTCCTGACTACTTTTTAATATCTTCAGTTTTTAACCAGTTATGAACAGTTTGATTCTAATGTCTGTGGTGCAGTTTGTCATGTATACCCATGTGTTGACTTTGGACCTTTTGGGTTTATGGTTGCTGTTAAGATTGAGGAATCTGTGTTTATTCTTCAGGTATTTGTGGCCAGTTTCTCATTGTCTTTCGAGGATTCTAGCTGTGTAGACTGTCCTGGAAGTCCGCCCTCTCCGATGGAGCACTTCTATGGATCACGATGTAACTCTTCCCTTTCCTATGGATCACGACATAACTCTTCCCTTCCACCCGTCCAGGGGACCGAGAACAACCTGTGTAGACAGTACGAGGAGAAGGTGCGCCCCTGCATTGACCTCATCGACTCCCTGCGGGCCCTGGGTGTGGAGCAGGACCTGGCCCTGCCTGCCATTGCCGTCATCGGGGACCAGAGCTCGGGGAAGAGCTCCGTGCTGGAAGCCCTGTCCGGAGTGGCCCTCCCCAGGGGTAGCGGTGAGCGCTGATGGTTTGGAGGGCTGCCCAAGATCTGATGGCTTCAGTCACACACACACACACACACACACACACACACACACGCACACACACGAATGTGCTCTCAAAGAGTTCTGCATGCTGCATGTACAAGACAGTGTTTAATGTCCCCGAGGACTCCCTCCTTGGCTTCCAGATGGTGTCATATGTCCTTTCCTGCATGCATCATCTTGGAACCTTCTCCTCTCATTAGAGCACCATCACAGTGACTCCACCTTTGCAGACAACCCGTGACAACCTAAGTTGCCTCTCCTAAGACTTGCTATCCAACACAGGCACTATAGGCACTGGGCAGCAGTGTGTGTGGTAGGGCCATGTAGTAATTGCTGTGATAAAACACCATGATCAAGGCAACTTATAGAAGGAAGAGTTTGTTGGGTTCATGGTCCAAAGGGATAAGAGTCCATCTGGGCACGAGGAGCAGGAGCAGAAAGCTGAGCACTCACATCTTCAAGCAGGCATGGGACCCAGAGGGACAGACTGGCAAGGGAGTGTGGCCGTGAACTCTCACAGTCCACCAGGGATGTGCTTCCTCCAGCAAGGCTGCACCTCCTAAACTTCTACAAACAGCACCACCAACTGGGGCCAAGTGTTCAGATACTTGGAGCTTGTGGGTGATGTTCTCATGCAAATCAGCAAAAGTATCTTTCTATCCCTTGCACTTTCTCACTGCGCATGTGGTAGGTTGCATGGAGTCTGCTTGCAGGTCTGACTAAGAGCCCAGAACTATGTGTGTATAAACTCTGTGCTGAGCCCTTTGCACAAGATGATCCATTCTCTGGGAAAATATAAGTTGGTGCTTGGTATAGTGATGCTGTTTGAGTTGCAAGACCCAGGGAGTCAGTGAGGCTCAGTGAGGAGGTCAGAGATGAGATGGTCTCAGAATCCCCTAGGTAGGCAGGCAGGAGGAGGAGGAAGTTCACACAAAGAGGTGGGGAAAAGGGGGCACAGTGAGCAGGGTGTGTCAGTGCAGGTCACAGTCAGCATGAGTGTAAATGACAGGCTCCGCTGCAGTCTGTTGCCTCCCAAACTGACAGCATCACACGTAGAAGAAGCTGGAAGCGAGCAGTGGCTGGTGGCTTTCAAACCCAAACACACAAAAGTTCCTTGGGTGCAGTTCCCCGTGCACAGGTCTGCGATCAGCCCAGGCATGAAGCAGGAGGGCCACGAGGGTGAGACTAGGGAGGTTTCAGTTTTCAGTGTCTCCCAGATGAGGGTCAAAGTTTGAGGGTTGTATGTCTAAGGCTCAGTGGAGGACTCGGCAGTGGAGCACAGGACTGATGTGGCTCCTGTCTTCTAGGTATTGTTACTAGGTGCCCTCTGGAGCTGAAGCTGAAGAAGCTCCGGGAGGGCAAGGAATGGAGAGGCAAAGTCACTTACGGGATCTTTGAGGTGGAGCTCTCAGATCCTTCACAGGTTGAAGGGGAGATCAATAAAGGTAAGTGCCTGTGTTTGCTCTTCTCTCTGTCCCTTGGCTGTCTCCATGCTCTGCTTCCCGGGTCCTTCATGTCATGAGCCCTCAGCCTCATATGCTCCTGAACTTTACTGTTTAATATCATGATGTCATCTCTGGTGCACGGCCACTGGCTCAAACAGACTCTGGTAGGCATGCAGTTTGCATTTCCAGTGTTCGATTGTTAGTTACATATACATACATACATTTACACATGCACAGTGCCCTGAGTCCCTGTATTTGGGATTAGACAACTCCTCAGAGAGCTAGTCTCTGGAGATAAATGATTCTCTCTCCATCAGCGTCTGTTAGTTGTTTGTAGCTCTTCATCTTGAAGTGGGACCTCGTGATACTCCCCCATTCACCTTGGCGTGTCAGCTGGCTCTGTCATTCTGAGGTCCTTGGTAGACGACCACACTGTGGATACCTCACAACTGCAGCTTCCCAGTCATGCCTAGAACGCATGAACTCGCAGCAGGGGTCTGGTACTTACATTCGTTGCTCCCCCTCTCCCCAAATGTTCCTTGAGTCTTAGGTGTAGAGAGTGCATTGTAAATGTATCACACACATACTTAGTCAGAAACAAACATCCCCAAACATCCTTGGCTGCAGAGCAGAGCAGGATGGCATCAGCTGCCCACGCCATGGGACCGTTTCCTTGCTTCTCATCACTGAGGGCGAGGAATGGAATGGGACCTGGGAACAGACACCAGAGCTCTTCCTGGCCATGTCTGAGGGATGCCCTGGATTTTCACACATCTTCACTGTGCACACATGGACCCCAGCCCAGTGAACTACGTCCTCTAATCAGGAATCACCTCTAAAGTTTCTAGACTTCCCAATATAAACTCATGACCAGGGAACCAATCTTTAGTTGCAGGTACTCTGAACAGAAAATAGGATCCCAGGGTCACACAGGAAGCAGTTTCTTGTACCAGGGAAGTCTCAGAGAGATATTTCTCTAAAGGAAAGCTTAGCTTTTTACACCCGCCCCATATACAGTACAGCTATCTCCCATACGTGGTAACACATACCCTGATTTGGTGCTCTGTGCTACAAGGTCATGACAGGCAGAACTGTACATTTATACAGGCACAGACCACGCTGCGTGGTTTTTTCTTTTTTCTGGGGTCCCAGGGTTTCTGGGACACTTTCAGTAGAGAAACATGTAGGGGGGTCCTTTACATCCAAAGCACATGTTTTCTGATGTCTCTGGAGTGAGACAGAGCCAGCTCAAAACAGCACTGGGCTTTCTTTTCCCCTCTAGCCCAGAACCACATTGCTGGGGAAGGACTGGGGATCAGCAGTGAGCTCATTAGCCTGGAGGTCAGCTCCCCACACGTCCCTGATCTGACTCTGATCGACCTGCCGGGGATCACCAGGGTGGCCGTGGGCAACCAGCCTGCAGACATAGGACACCAGGTGAGGCCCCGACTCCACTCTGACCTGCCTTTGGATGCAGGGGCGGTTGGAGAAGACACATCCAGGGTTGTGTCTGAGGAGGGGCCCTGTGTAGGTGGAGTGAGATGGGATGGACAGGCCCACCATGTCCAGGTGGAGACAGTGAGCAGACAGGGGCAGTCCACCCTCACTTCTTTGGGGGAAACGCCCATTACCCTGGGGCCTGAAGCAAGGAGGTCAGGACCATCTCGTTCTCCCTCCCTCCCTCCCCACACAGGACTCACATCATGTCGTTTCTTGTAGATCAAGAGACTCATCAGGAAATACATCCAGAAGCAGGAGACCATCAACCTGGTGGTGGTCCCCAGTAACGTGGACATCGCCACCACGGAGGCACTGAGCATGGCTCAGGAGGTGGACCCTGAAGGGGACAGGACCATAGGTGAGAAGAGGGGGAGCTGACAGCGCTGTGTGGGTGTCAACAGAACGGATTCCCCGAGTGAGTCCAGGTGCAGCAGGCTGGGCTCACGCTCAGGAGCCCGGTGAGGCCAGAGGAAGTGAGCTACATTAGACCCCGTGGCCACTGGTGCCTTGGGATCTTGTCTTCCTGTTCAGAAAGGCCGAGGAGAGTCAGAGGCAGGACAGGGTCAGAGGGAAACTGTATGTGTTGAGACTCACTGGAGGTGGCTCTGTGGGAAGGTCCCTGCAGGAGCGGGGAGGCACAGAAGCTGTCTCTCTGGTTGATGGCTGTTGGGAGGAGCTGGAGAGGAGCCTGTGGCTGGAGGAGGGGGCTCCCTGTCTTCTCCCAGCCACCTGTAGGTGTCTCTGCTGATGGGCCTCCACCTCACATGGGTTCTGTACAGACCCTGTCTGCCTCAACTAAGGATGGGAGGAAGGCCTGGGAAGCTGGTGGCCAGGTGAGACCTCTGCTTCCCGCCGTCTTGGGGCAGGAGCATCCCGAGTTCCAAATCTGTGTCCCGCAGGCATCTTGACCAAGCCTGATCTGGTGGACAGAGGGGCCGAAGACAAGGTCGTGGATGTGGTGCGGAACCTCGTGTGCCACCTGAAGAAGGGCTACATGGTCGTCAGGTGCCGGGGCCAGCAGGACATCCAGGATCAGCTGAGCCTGGCCGAGGCCCTGCGGAGGGAGCAGGCCTTCTTCAAGGAGCACCCGCACTTCAGGTGAGCTGTGCCATGCTGCCCCATGCAGAGAAAATTGCTAGTCAGGGCAGACTTGCCATGGAGAGCAGACACAGTCCTGACTAGAACAGAGCACAGGAAGATCAGAACACCCGGAGTGGACCGTGCACTGGCCACGTGATCAAAGCAGCGCTCAGTCTTCTGTGCTGTTTATCAACCCACAGCAGGAAACGATGCTTGAACAGCTCCAGAAAATGACACAGCACTCTTACCTGACCCGTTACGGCAAAACAGATGCCAAATCAGGGTCTCAATTAGACCCAAGTAAGAGCTGAGCTTCCCAAAGGCACATGCTGACCATAGTCCACAAGCCCACCCAGAGACCTTTGGAACTTGGTACCACAGGAGAGCTCTTTTACGGACAGGCTGAGCAGTGACTTAGATTTATAACGAAATCTTGTAGAGCTGTGGACGTTGTTCATTCACTTCTGGGATCCTGAGAAGTGTCACTCAGGTGTGCGCACACCATAGTGTAGAGCGGGGCTCTCGGCAGCAGCAGATGAAGCTGCCCGCGTCCCCACCCGGAGGTGAGCAGCCCAGAACGGGCCTGCACATGGAGAGGGCGTGAGCCAGCCTCAGACATGCAGGGAATTCCAAGACCTGCAGCCAATGCCGGACCTGAGAGTGCAGAGCTGAGAGAAATGGCCAGTCAGGCTGATGGTGACCCACTGGATCAGGTCTCTAATGCAATGGATTTACAGAGAGGATGGGCAGGGCTGGAGGAGGTGGGCAGGGCGTGTTGGAGCATGTTCCACTGTGAGCCCTCATTCCCGGGGTCCTTGTATGGGTGACCATGGGAGCCTGGGAAAAGATGACTGTCCAGGGAGAAGCTGTGTTCATGTCTCTGACCTGGTGTCTCCAGTTCAGATCACCTTAGCTCTCTACCTGTGGTGTTGGGAATGTCAGCACATGTGGATTTAGACCCCAGACCTGTTTGAAGAGGGCGCTGGGCAGAGACTCAGCAGAGTTTCCTTCTCTGGGCATGCCGCATCAAGGGCTTCCCACAGGCAGGTGGAATGCAGGGCCATGTTGAGATCACTGTGACTCGAGGTTGACTGTTTGTGGCCACCTTGATGCAGACAGAGGCGTGGTCTTACTGAATTCACCTTGAGCACAGCAGTTAAACACCCTGCTTGGGAACTGGAGTCCTCGGGGGCTTCTTACCTGTTGAAAATAGCACAGGAGCTGGGCTAAGCTGAGGACTCTCGTGTGGTTCTGGCTGCTCTCGTCTCAGAACCTACTGGACAGTGACCTGTGGGATCTCCCTGCAGAGTCTGTGTCCCTGATACAGAAGGAACAGTCCCTGGGCGGCTCCAGTAGGAACATGTGCAGGGGCAGGGTTGTAGGGCTGTGTGTGCAGGACGGGTGTGTGGGCACGCCTGCAGGGAACGGGATGCTTCTGATGGGCTGCTCTGCACCAGGGAAGTCTGCAGAGGTATCAGGCTGTCACACCTGCATCCCAGCTCTCCCAGCAGCTCGTGGCCTCCCGTTCATTCCTAGTCCGTATCTCTATGTCCCGTTCATCTCTTTCCACTTCAGAAATCTCTGCCACGTTTGGAAAATCAAATAAAGGAGAGTCACCAGCGTGCAAGTGACGAGCTGCAGAAGTACGGCGTGGACGTCCCCGAGGACGACAGTGAGAGAACTTTCTTTCTGATTGAGGTGAGTATGTCTTGTTACCTGGGGTGAGAATCCCACATCACCGTCCACAGAAGGATCTGTGTGGTGCTCCTCTGTCCTGAATCCCCAGGACTGACTGCATTGAGTCCTGCCTACCACCAGTGCTAAAAAAACGATCAGGACTGAGGCCATGTTTGAGCACAGAGTGGAACTGTCAGGGGCTGGACAGCATGGTCCTTTCCTCCTCTCTGACCAAAGAGACCGGGATCCCAAAGGTGGAGGAGGGAGAGGAGGGATTTTCTGACACAGACAGCCCTTTCCACCTTTGTGAGGAAGAAGTGGCTCGTCCACGCTCAGCACAGACGCCTCCTCTAACCACCTTGTGTGTGCGCTGTCTCCTTCTTCACAGAAAATCAACACTTTCAACAAGGACATCACCGCCTTGGTCCAAGCCCAGGAAACCGTCTCACAAGGTGGCAGCCGTCTGTTCAGCAAATTGCGAGACCAGTTCTTCAAATGGAATACTGACATTGAGAAGCATTTCAAAAATAGTGAGCGTTTTTCTCCATTTGCGCTGCTGGGTCTCAACACCTTGAATTCTGGTGTTTGCTTACTGGCTTGGTGCTGGGACGGTCAAGGTTGAGGCACCTTCGGATTACGTGTCTGGTGGTGGCTCCTCTGCTCCCGAGGTGGTCTCACCTGGCCTGGTGCTCACATGCAGAGGAGGAGCGCTGGCCTGCTGTACTAAGGACATACCTCCCATCTGTGAGGGTGAGGCCGTCGTGACCTGGGCACTTCTTAAAGACCATCTTCCAAGGCCAGCACATTGGGGGTGAATTTCAGCATATGAACTTGGGGGACAGGTTCTGTCCACAGCAGTGACTCCAGCATTTGGGGTGTTGGAATACACTGTGGATTATGATGTGGGGCATGAAGACGGCTGGGATATAAACTTAGAGACCCAGGAGCTGCATTCTATCCCTGAATCCAGGCCACCCCTTACTGTTGTCAAAGTGCACCTTCAGAGAACATGTAGGTTAATTGTCCCAAATTAACTATGGTCTCTGTAAGAATCTGTGTTCTCTACGTTTATAGAGGGCAGGTGGACATTGCGTGCATGATCTGGATTGGCAGAAAGTGTAGTCCTGGCCCCAGGGTGGGGGGAGTTTGAACAGGAAGACCTGATAGTCCATGAGGGTGGTGGTCCCTCAAGGCTCCAAAACTTCTCAGAAATAGTGTTGTGGGTCATGGTGTATGTTAGTGACTATGCTAAAAGTCAGGAAGTGTCCACCAGTGATGTGTTTTATTGAATGTGAACTGAACTCAATAACATCGTCCTTTGTGGAAAACCTCCCCCTCCCCAAAGGGGTAGCACAGAACCGGGTCATCTCACGAGGAGACTTGTGCAGAGTCTGCTCCCAGATGGAGAGTCTCTGGGGGGATGGGGAACTAAGCATTGGAGACTTGTGCAGAGTCTGCTCCCAGATGGAGAGTCTCTGGGGGGATGGGGAACTAAGCATTTGTCTCTCAAGCAAGGAGATCATGTCACACTTGGGCCGAGCAAGGCACCCTGTCACCCCTTGCTGATGGGCGCTGCCCCCTCCTGACCAGCTCAGGAGCTGGTGACATTCTAGGGCCATGGGGTCTGGGTTGGCCCTTGTACTAAGATCTTTCTTCTTCGCTCAAATCTATTGGATTCACAAACTCTCACTCAGTGGTTTTGAGGCCAGGGCTGGTTCCACCGCCTGCCTTCTGGCACTTCTCAGGCCCTGTACCTGCCCTCTGCCTCCTCTGAGGAACGTTACTTTGATTTGTTATTACTTTGTTGTTTTAAATGTACAAATCAAGATTCATTTGATTTCGTTTTTATCTGATCATTTCAGAAAAGTCAAATGAGGATGTTTAGAACAAAGCTGAGAGATTGTTTCTGTCGTTATTCTTTCCGATCGTAGGCTCCGATGAAATACACAGACACATCCAGGTATTTGAAAATCAGGAACGTGGCCGGGAGCTGCCGGGCTTTGTGAACTTCAAGACATTTGAGAACATCATCAGAAAACAAATCAAAGCCCTGGAACAGCCAGCTGTGGACATGCTGCACGTCATCACTGGTGAGTGCTCTGGAGTCACTGGTGAGTGCTGGACAGAGTCACTGGTGAGTGCTGGACAGAGTCACTGGTGAGTGCTGGACAGAGTCACTGGGGAGTGCTGGACAGAGTCACTGGGGAGTGCTGCACAGAGTCATTGGCCACTGCAGTGCTGAGGTTCAGAGCTGCCCTCTAGGGCGAGTTCCAGGCCACTGGCAGGTTCTCTGCTGCTCAGAGGCCACTGTGGTGTTCAAGGATTCAGTCCATTCTGAGCCTGAGGCCCTGAGGGTCTGTCAGAGGACAGTCACCTAACCTTGAGCCCTTAGCTAGTTAAGAGCAGGGCCCCAGCTTTCGTGACAGATGGTGACCACCCTTAGCCACAGGTCAGCGCCAACCTTCCCTCCTCTCCGTGGTTGGATAGCGGCCCCATCTCCCCTGGGCTCAGTGTTGACTCCCTTCTGGTCTCCACCTGAACTTCAGTTAAGGCCGGCCTGTCTCCTGCACCTTTGATGACCTGGAGTTGGCTCAGGCCCCCACAGGTTAAGGACTCAGTCCCGCCACACTGCCCTCTAGCATAGATGCACAGTCAGGGTACGTCCATCCACCTGGCTGACCTTCCATAAATCTGGGTGCCGGTGACCCTTCCCTCAGGTTCGGTGAACTTGGGACAGGCTTCACCAACACTGTATTATGGAGAAATTGCAAAGGCGACAGTTCCTCCGAGCTCACAGCGGGTCATCTAACTGAAAGCTCCTTGAACTTAAGACATGGCTAGCTCCTTGAGAGTTCCCAGTGGAGGTGTGACTGACCAATTCCACTCCTGCCCCACTTTCCTCCCCCAACTCAGCATATTGAGGAATCAAAGTTGGCAGCCTCTGGCCCTTGCTTGGCCTTCCTGGTGACTGATTCTGAAACTGTCCATCAAGAGTTGTTTCCATGGAGCAAGGCATCCTTTGGTCCTGCAGGAAATGCGCAGGCACCGGGAGCTCTGTGTTGGGCACACTGAGCGCAAACATGTTTCTCCCACTCTACCTTGCTCCATAGTCTCCTCCCCAGCAACGTGGCCTTCTCTCTGAGAAGCAGAGTCAAGAACCAGACGTGCCCAGAACTCTCTAAGGTGCAGATGGATCATGGGGGATGACTGTGACAGTCCCAGAGCGGAGACACACATCATCACTCTGCCCCAGCACACAGTCTCTGTTGACTTCATCTTCCCTCAGATCTTCTCTGCCGTGTTTAGGAATAAGAAATAATTGCTGCCAGACGTGGTGGCGCACGCCTTTAACCTCTGGAGACAGCACACAGTCTCTGTTGACTTCATCTTCCCTCAGATCTTCTCTGCCATGTTTAGGAATAAGAAATAATTGCTGCCAGACGTGGTGGCGCACGCCTTTAATCCCAACACTCGGGAGGCAGAGGCAGGCGGATCTCTGTGAGTTCAAGGCCACCC